CATTGCAAATGAATATTTTTACATAGCCTGCCCTTATTTGCTGTTGCCATATTACATAATACACTGAATACATTGGAATGTGAAGAATAATAAGTACTACAGTATGTGTGGCTAGGTATAAGTATTACGTACTTTTATTTGTATTACAGGTACTTAACTGATGATGGTTTACATACAGAACCTGTGTTCATCTTATAAAATATGACTTGTGATGTTAAGTGATGGTAATCAGCTGCAAGCTATATAACTAAAATACTACTTTACGTTAATGCATCAGCAGCCATAGAATATAATTGATATTACTGATGTGTAGCATAACAATACACAAGGGAATGTTCTTGTTTTTATTCTTAGACTCTGCTAGAGCAGCTTTGCATGATTGACAGTTCCAAATAATCCTTATTTGTTTAATACTGGGCCTTGGTGCAGCCAGATTCATCCTCTGTCTGATGCAAGATGTTGTAGTTCCTCCCCGTCTTCTTCCTAATTGGCTGCCCCTCAGAAACTAGGGGTTCTCAAATGAAAGTTGTTCTAAGTGGATATTTTATGTATTGCCTTCACTTAAGTAACATGTCTGCATCCTTTGCCCCTAAACTCATATTTGACAGCTGAATGTGTTGTATTTTCAACAGTAACACTTGTGTGTGTCTGTGTGTGTTTGTGTTTCTGCAGTGGGTCTGGATGCTGCAGGTAAAACCACCCTGCTGTACAAACTGAAGCTGGGTGAGGTCGTGACCACGATCCCAACTATTGGTCAGCATTTTTAACCTCCATCTTTCTGTTATGAGAGAGAAATATAAAAGAGTTAAATAATAATAAACATGTTTCCGTGTGTGTGTGCGTGTGCAGGGTTTAATGTGGAGACTGTGGAGTATAAGAACATCAGCTTCACAGTTTGGGATGTTGGTGGGCAGACGATCATCAGGCCGCTGTGGAGACATTACTACGTTAACACACAGGTGAGACTGCTGCTGTAAACACAGGCCTTTAACCCAGGAGTCTGTGTTTGTGTTTTATGAAGCAGCTGCAGTGAGGAGCTTTTAAATATTGTCTGTTTGTCTTCAGGGTTTGATATTTGTGGTCGACAGCAACGACCCGGAGAGGATCAAAGAGGCATCTGAGGAGCTGCACACACTGGTAAAAAGATTTAAACTTATCCATAGTTTTGTTTTTCATCAGTTTTCATTAATTTAGCTTTTACTTTAGTTAACTAGAATGTTTTTATTTTTACTTGTAGTTTAGTTTCGTTTTAGTTAACTTTTAACGACTTTGGTACTTCGACACTGCTTCATTCAGCTTTTAATCCACACAGTACCAGTCAGAGGTCTGAGTTTGAAATAGACCATCATCAGACTCGTGTTAAAGTTAGTTTTACTGTCCTGTTGCAGTTGCAGGAGGATGAGCTGAAGGGCGTGGCCGTGCTGGTCTTTGCTAACAAGCAGGATTTACCCAGAGCCATGTTGGTCAGTGACATCATCGAGGCCCTGAGTTTAAAAGGAGTGTCACAGCCGGTAGGTGTCCCCAGCTTCTGCTGAGCATGGGAGAAGTTTGGCTCCAGAGTTTTCTGTCTTCCACATGTG